CTCCCTGGGCTCGTCACCCTGCCCCCTGCTGCCCGGGCCCCGTGTGTCAGGAGGGTCTCGGGGGACAGAGCTTCCCCCTCAGCCTAGGCAGCGTGCTTTCCAAGGAGTTTTCTTATGAGAAATGTCCCCGAATGAACAGAAGTAGAAAGTGACAGGATGAACCCTGAGGGACTGTGTGTGAACTGTGCAAGCCCCGCCCCTCCTGCCGCTGCCTGGGCGGGGCTGGGACCAGCTGCTGAGTGCTGGCCGCCTGGCAGCCTCCCTCCCCCGGCCTCCCCAGTGTCCAGGGCGCCTGCCGGGCAACCAGCCACTTGTCCTGTACAGGCACCCGGCCTGGGCGGGACTCCCAGCCACAGTGACTTGTCAGGAGGAGTCTCGCCAGCGCCATTCCCACCCCTCACAGATGACCAGGACAGGCAGGGACTTGATCCAATCACCCAGAAATGACATCTGCAACCCACTCGGCTCCCTGTACTGCCCCCCCCCACCCCCCCTGCCCCAGAAGCACCATCATTACAAAGACAGCGCTACTGTGAACCACAATGTGAGGAATCAGCGGCCATCAGGGTGAAACATGAGCGTATGGTCCACACACCTCTCTAAACCTTCAGAAGTCTAGATACTTCCCATAAATTGTGGGGTTTTTTGTTAAATTACAAAGAACTGTAATCCGATAAGCTGGAGATGATCGGGCTATTTACGGTCGGGGAGCTGCTGAAAGGAAAGAAGAATCGGTGTGTAAGTTGCTGTCAGGAAAGGTTTTGAGGCGGAGCCGTGCCAACTGAAGTCCCCAGTGTCCTTCCCGTGCCTGGTCCCGTGGCCGGTCCCCACCCCTGGAGGTCGGAGCCCGGTTGTCCCTGAGCGACTTCCTGAGCTGGGCATCGGAGAGAGCGGATAGCAAAGCCGGGGTCCCCCTGAAATACGGGTGCGGGTGGTACAGAGGCGACACAGTGGCTCTGCCCGGGCTGGAGACCGGCTCGGCCTCTGTAGCAGGAGCATCTGAGCCACCGATGGTCCTGGGGCGTGTCCTGGGCCTCCCTCTGAGCCGCCCCCAGTGTCACCGGCTCCCTCAGGAGGCGCTGAGCCCCTGGAAGCCCCTGGAGACGCAGGGCAGGGGGACGTGAGCCGTGTGACAGGGGAGCCGGGAGGTGATTGCTCGCCCACTGTGTGAGGAGGTGAGAGACCAACCGGCTGGCGTCCGGGGTGCTGTCCACCCGGAGCTGGAACATGTAACCCAGTGGCTCTCAACCTGAGGGTCGCGGCCCCTTTGGCAGTCAAACGACCCTTTCACAGGGGTCGCCTAAGACCATCCTGCATATCAGATATTTACATGACGATTCATAACAGTAGCAACATTAGTTAGGAAGTAGCAACGAAAATAATTTTATGGTTGGGTCACAGCATGAGGAGCTGCATTTAAAGGGCCAGAAGGTTGAGAACCACTGAATTGTAACCAGAAGCCATTGCACATCCAGCCCCCGAGGCAGGTCGTTAAGAAGCGTCTGCCTGCCCGGGGGCGTGGCTCCGTGGCTGAGCATCGACCTAGGACCCAGGAGGTGGCACCTGCTGGGG